AATGAAAGCCATGTGCAGTCCCTTCTGTTTCTCCCTGTACTTTTCCATTGTCTGTCTTAAGGCAAAAATAGCATCTGATGTCTGTCTTCCCTTAACAAATCCAAACTGGTTCTCACTGATGACCGTTTCAGCCTCGATCCTCATTCCAATAGTCTCTCCCAAAGCTTCATTGTATGTGAGATCAATTTAATTCCCCTGTAGTTAGTGCAGTCCTGGATGTTACCCTTCTGTTTATATATGGGCACAATAGTGCTCTTCCTCCACTCCGATGGAATTTTCTCTTGCTCATATATTTTATTTAAAAGATCCCACAAAACATCTACAGCAGCCTCCCCAAGGCTTTTCCATGCTTCTATCGGGATGTTATCCGGTCCAACAGCTTTGTTTGATTTCATTAATCTCAGCGCCTTTTCCACTTCTCTACGTGATATGTTATCAGTCCTCCTCTCTGTTGGTAAGCCGCTCCTGTTTCCACTCTTGGGTTCTCTACATTCATTAAGTTTTCAAAATATTCCTTCCATCTCCTTTTTATAGCATCATCATCATACAAAACATTTCCTTCTGTATCCTTCATATGCCTGATATGTGTCTGATCTTTCGTACTCTTGTCTCTGGCCTTTGCTATTCTATAAATCTTTTTCTGTCCTCCTCTTGTATCGAGTTCTTGATACATTTCTTCCCTTGCCTCAGCTTTAGCTACTGCCACTGCTTTCTTTGCTGCTTTGTTCGCTGTTTTAAGCCTTTCTTCATTTTCCTCATTTCTGTTTTTGTAATATTCCTTCCTTGTAATCTTCTTCTGCTTTATAGTTTCCGATATTTCTTCCTTCCACCACCAAGTTTCCTTGTCATTGGGTGGTCCTTTACCAGATGTCATCCCCAATATTTCCTCTGCAGCTTGTCGGATCATTGAAGCATTCAAATTCCACCACTTCAACTCCCTCCCTCAACTCTATCTGCTCCAGCACTCTCTCCCTGAACAAACTTCTCTGGTCTTCGTCTTTCAAATTCCACCACTTAATCTTAGGTATTGCCCTTTTCTTTCCTTTCCTCCCTCTTTTAATGTTAAACTCCCCAATAATCAGGTGATGTTGTTTGGCAGCTGTTTCTCCCTTAATTACCTTAAAATTTCTGACTTCACTCATTTTACTTCTCTTGTATAATATGTAGTCCAATTGTGTTTCCTGTCCTCCACTTTCATATGTATTGTAATCCTTCTTTTTGAAGAACGTGTTCAATATAGCCAGATCGTATGCCACTGCGAAGTCAATTAGCCGTTCTCCGTTGGGATTTACAGCCCCGCTCCCATATCTACCATGGACACGCTCTATTGCCAAGTTTCTCTCTCCCACGTGACCATTGAAATCGCCAGCAATCAAGGCTGTTTCAACATCCGGTATCTCTGTGCACATACTATCTAGGTCTTGCCAAAATTTGTCTTTCTCTTCATCATCGCAGCCTACTTGTGGTGCATATACACTCATTATATTAATGATTGTATTTCCGATAATTAGTTTAATCAACATTATTCGGTCATTCTTTCTCCAGACACTGATGACGTTTTCTTTATGATTGGGACTCAGGATTATTCCAACTCCATTCCTTCCTCTTCCATCTGCTCCACTGTAGAAAAGCTTAAAGCCTCTCCCCAGCTCTCGGGCCTTATTCCCCCTCCATCGTGTTTCCTGTAGGCAAAGTACCTCCAACTTTCTTCTCTCCATGAGATCCACAACCTCCCTCCCCTTTCCTGACATTGTGCCAACATTAAGGCTGCCGACTTTAACGGCTTGAATTTGAGTGGAGTTAGGCATTTCACCTCTCCCTGCAAAACCGGATATTCTTAGCACCCTCTGCCCATTTAAGGGCTGCCGGGGACTGAGGGCCAATATTCTTTCAGCTTCTGTCATGTTGGTTTGGAGCGGTTTTTATTTTACGCGCGGATGCCTTTCCCGTCCAGCAACACTCTGCATTTATCCGGGCTTGTGACCGGCACTCAGTTGGGCTGGCTTGCCCCCAAGTGGCCCTATATATATATATATATATATATATATATATATATATATATATATATATATATATAATATATATATATATATATATATAATATATATATATATATATATATATATTATATATATGTATATATATATATATATATATATATATATATATATATATATATATATATATATATATATATATATATATATATATATATATATATATATATATATATATATATATATATATATATATATTATATATATATATATATATACATATATATATATATATATATATATATATATATATATATATATATATATATATATATATATATATATATTATATATATATATATATATATATATATATATATATATATATATATATTATATATATATATATATATATATATATATATATATATATATATATATATATATATATATATATATATATATATATCTATATATATATATATATATATATATATATATAT